TATCTATCTATCTATCTATCTATCTATCTATCTATTATCTATCTATCTATCTATCTATCTATCTATCTATCTGTCTATTATTGAATTGCTCTCTCTATCTATCCTTCTAGCCTATATATCTATTATCTATCTATCATTGTATCGATCTGTCTATCTTTCTGTCTGTCATCTGTCATTCCTATCTATCTATCTATCTATCTATCTATCCATCTATCTCTCTTACATTCATTCATTGTACTGATCTATCTTTCTGTCTCTCTATCAATCTATCAATCTATCAATCTATCAATCTATCCATCCTTCCATCCACTCTTCTACCCTATATATCTATTGTATCTATCTATCTATCTATCTATCTATCTATCTATCATTCATTCATTCATTCATTCATTCATTCATTCATTGTTCTGATCTATCTTTCTGTCTCTCTATCAATCTATCAATTTATCTATCCATCCATCCATCCATCCACTCTTCTATCCTATATATCTGTTATATAGCTCTATCATTGCATTGATCTACCTTATTCTCAGTCTATCTTTCTATCTATCTATCTATCTATCTATCTATCTATCTATCTATCTATCTATCCTTCTAGCCTATATATCTATCTAATTTATCTATCTATCCTTCTAGCCTATATATCTATTATATATCTATCTATCTCTATTATTTCTATTAATGAATTGATCTCTATCTATCTATTTTTCTAGCCTATATATCTATTATCTATCTATCTATCCATCTATCTATCCATCTAGCCTATATATCTATCTATCATTGTATCGATCTATCTACCTTTCCATCCACTCTTCTACCCTATCATTCTATTGATATATCTATTGATATATCCTTCTACCTTATCTATCCTTCTAGCCTATGTATCTATTATCTATCTATCATTGTATCGATCTACCTACCTTTCCATCCACTCTTCTACCCTATCATTCTATTGATCTATCTATTTCTCTATCCTTCTACCCTATCTATCTATCTATCTATCTATCTATCCTTCTAGCCTATATATCTATTATCTATCTATTGTATCGATCTATCTACCTTTCCATCCACTCTTCTACCCTATCTATTGATCTATCTATCTATCTATCTATCTATCTAATTTATCTATCTATCCTTCTAGCCTATATATCTATTATATATCTATCTATCTCTATTATTTCTATTAATGAATTGATCTCTATCTATCTATTCTTCTAGCCTATATATCTATTATCTATCTATCTATCTATCTATCTATCTATCTATCTATCTATCCTTTAGCCTATCTATCTATCTATCTATCTATCTATCTATCTATCTATCTATCTATCTATCTATCTATCTATCATTGTATTGATATATCTACCTTTCCATCCACTCTTCTACCCTATCATTCTATTGATCTATCTATTTATCTATCCTTCTACCTTATCTATCTATCTATCTATCTATCTATCCATCCTTCTAGCCTATATATCTGTTATCTATCATTGTATCGATCTAATTTCCATCCACTCTTCTACCTTATCATTCTATTGATCTATCTATTTATCTATCCTTCTACCTTATCTATCTATCTATCTATCTATCTATCTATCTATCTATCTATCCTTCTACCCTATATATCTATCCTTCTAGCCTATATATCTATTATCTATCTATCATTTTATGGATCGATCTACCTTTCCATCCACTCTTCTACCCTATCATTCTATTGATCTATCTATTTATCCTTCTACCTTATCTATATATCTATCCTTCTAGCCTATATATCTATTATCTATCATTGTATCGATCTACCTATCTTTCCATCCGCTCTTCTACCCTATCATTCTATTGATCTATCTATTTATCTATCCTTCTACCTTATCTATCTATCCATCCATCCATCCATCCTTCTACCCTATCTATCTGCCTATCTGTGGACCTATTTGTCTTAACTATCTATTGATCTACCTTTCCCCTCATATTTCAGATCGGGACTTTCTGTTGCCGGCCGTCTTCCATCCAGAGCCATGTCCGCCCCACTTGCGCTGAAGCCCCCATCTCCGCCCGGCCCGTAGTGATGTGCGGGGCCTTCTCCTCCTTGTCTCTCCGTCCGCCATGAGCCAGGAGCGGGTGACGCTGGAGCGCAACGCGGTGGCCTGGCTCTCGTGCGCGGGCCTCTCGGTGTTGGCCAATACCTGGGGCATCCTGAGCGTGACGGCCAAGCAGAAGAAGTGGAAGCCGCTGGAGTTCCTGCTGTGTGCGCTGGCCGGCACCCACGCCCTCAACGCGGCCGTCCCGGTGGCCATGTACGCCGTGGTGCAGCTGCGCCGCCTGCGCTCAGGCTACCAGTGGAACGAGGGGCTCTGCAAGGTCTTCGTCTCCACCTTCTACACCCTCACCCTCGCCACCTGCTTCTCCGTCACCTCCCTCGCCTACCACCGCATGTGGATGGTGCGCTGGCCTGTCAACTACAGGTGGGTTTGGTTTGGATGCCCTTTGGGTGCCCCAAGGTTGGGTCTTGGCTGTGAGAAAGGGGCTGGTTTGGATGCCCTTTGGGTGCCCCAAGGTTGGGTCTTGGCAATGACAAAGGAGTTGGTTTGGATGCCCTTTGGGGGCCCCATAGTTGGGTCTTGGCTATGAGAAAGAGATCGGTTTGAATGCCCTATAGTTGGCTCTTTGCTATGAGAAATGAGTTGGATGCCCTATAGTTGGGTCTTTACTAAGAGAAATGGGTCAGTTTGGATGCCCTATAGTTGGGTCTTTACTATGAGAAATGAATTGACTTGGATGCCCTATAGTTGGGTCTTTACTATGAGAAATAGGTTGGCTTGGATGCTCTATAGTTGGGTCTTTACTATGAGAAATGAGTTGACTTGGATGCCCTATAGTTGGGTCTTTACTATGAGAAATAGGTTGGCTTGGATGCCCTATAGTTGGGTCTTTACTATGAGAAATGGGTTGGTTTGGGTGCCGTACAGTTGGGTCTTTGCTATGAGAAATGGGTTGGCTTAGATGCCCTATAGTTGGGTCTTTGCTATGAGAAATGGGTTGGCTTGGATGCCCTATAGTTGTGTCATTACTATGAGAAATGGGTTGGTTTGGATGCCCTATAGTTGGGTCTTTGCTATGGGAAATGAGTTGACTTGGATGCCCTATAGTTGGGTCTTTGCTATGGGAAATGAGTTGACTTGGATGCCCTATAGTTGGGTCTTTACTATGAGAAATGGGTTGGCTTGGATGCCCTATAGTTGTGTCTTTACTATGAGAAATGGGTTGGTTTGGATGCCCTATAGTTGGGTCTTTACTATGAGAAATGGGTCAGTTTGGATGCCGTATAGTTGGGTCTTTACTATGAGAAATGGGTCGGTTTGGATGCCATATAGTTGGGTCTTTACTATGAGAAATGGGTCGGTTTGGATGCCATATAGTTGGGTCTTTACTATGAGAAATGGGTCGGTTTGGATGCCATATAGTTCGGTCTTTACTATGAGAAATGGGTCTGTTTGGATGCCGTATAGTTGGGTCTTTACTATGGGAAATGGGTTGGCTTGGATGCCCTACAGTTGGGTCTTTGCTATGAGAAAGGGGCCGGTTTGTGTGCCCTTTGGCTGCCCCATAGTTGGGTCTTTGCTGTGAGAAAGGGGTCAGTTTGTGTGCCCTTTGGCTGCCCCATAGTTGGGTCTTTGCTATGAGAAAGGGGCCGGTTTGGGTGCCCTTTGGCTGCCCCATAGTTGGGTCTTTGCTATGAGAAAGGGGTCGGTTTGTGTGCCCTTTGGCTGCCCCTAGTTGGGTCTTTGCTATGAGAAAGGGGTCGGTTTGGATGCCCTATGGCTGCCCCTAGTTGGGTCTTTGCTATGAGGAAGGGGTCGGTTTGGGTGCCCTTTGGCTGCCCCATAGTTGTGTCTTTGCTATGAGAAAAGGGGTCAGTTTGGATGCCCTTAGTTGGGTCTTCTTTACTATGAGAAATGGGTTGGCTTGGATGCCCTATAGTTGGGTCTTTACTATGAGAAATGGGTTGGCTTGGATGTCCAAGTTGAGTCTTTTCTATGAGAAAGGGGCCAGTTTGGGTGCCCTTTGGCTGCCCCATAGTTGGGTCTTTACTATGAGGAAGGGGTCGGTTTGGGTGCCCTTTGGCTGCCCCATAGTGGGGTCTTTACTATGAGAAATGGGTCGGTTTGGATGTCCTATAGTTGGGTCTTTACTATGAGAAATGAGTTGGCTTGGGTGCCCTATAGTTGGGTCTTTACTATGAGAAATGGGTCGGCTTGGATTTTGTATAGTTGGGTCTTTACTATGAGAAATGGGTTGGCTTGGATACCCTATAGTTGGGTCTTTGCTATGAGAAATGGGTTGGTTTGGGTGCTCTACAGTTGGGGCTTTGCTATGAGAAAGGGGCCGGTTTGGGTGCCCTTTGGCTGCCCCATAGTTGGGTCTTTACTATGAGAAAGGGGCCCTTTGGCTGCCCCTTACTATGAGAAATGGGTTGGCTTGGATGCCCTATAGTTGGGTCTTTACTATGAGAAATTGATTGGGTGCCCTTTGGCTGCCCTTTGGCTGCCCCATAGTTGGGTCTTTACTATGAGGAAGGGATTGGTTTGGGTGCCCTTTGGCTGCCCCATAGTTGTGTCTTTGCTATGAGAAAAGGGGTCAGTTTGGATGCCTTTAGTTGGGTCTTCTTTACTATGAGAAATGGGTTGGCTTGGATGCCCTATAGTTGTGTCTTTACTATGAGAAATGGGTTGGCTTGGATGCCCTATAGTTGGGTCTTTACTATGAGAAATTGATTGGGTGCCCTTTGGCTGCCCTTTGGCTGCCCCATAGTTGGGTCTTTACTATGAGGAAGGGATTGGTTTGGGTGCCCTTTGGCTGCCCCATAGTTGTGTCTTTGCTATGAGAAAAGGGGTCAGTTTGGATGCCTTTAGTTGGGTCTTCTTTACTATGAGAAATGGGTTGGCTTGGATGCCCTATAGTTGGGTCTTTACTATGAGAAATGGGTTGGCTTGGATGCCCTATAGTTGGGTCTTTACTATGAGAAATGGGTTGGCTTGGATGTCCAAGTTGAGTCTTTTCTATGAGAAAGGGGCCAGTTTGGGTGCCCTTTGGCTGCCCCATAGTTGGGTCTTTACTATGAGGAAGGGGTCGGTTTGGGTGCCCTTTGGCTGCCCCATAGTGGGGTCTTTACTATGAGAAATGGGTCGGTTTGGATGTCCTATAGTTGGGTCTTTACTATGAGAAATGAGTTGGCTTGGGTGCCCTATAGTTGGGTCTTTACTATGAGAAATGGGTCGGCTTGGATTTTGTATAGTTGGGTCTTTACTATGAGAAATGGGTTGGCTTGGATACCCTATAGTTGGGTCTTTGCTATGAGAAATGGGTTGGTTTGGGTGCCCTACAGTTGGGGCTTTGCTATGAGAAAGGGGCCGGTTTGGGTGCCCTTTGGCTGCCCCATAGTTGGGTCTTTGCTAGGAGAAAGGGGCCGGTTTGGGTGCCCTTTGGATGCCCTATAGTTGTGTCTTTACTATGAGAAAGGGGCCCTTTGGCTGCCCCTTACTATGAGAAATGGGTTGGCTTGGATGCCCTATAGTTGGGTCTTTACTATGAGAAATTGATTGGGTGCTCTTTGGCTGCCCTTTGGCTGCCCCATAGTTGGGTCTTTACTATGAGGAAGGGGTTGGTTTGGGTGCCCTTTGGCTGCCCCATAGTTGGGTCTTTGCTATGAGAAAGGGGTTGGTTTGGATGCCCTTTGGCTGCCCCATAGTTGGGTCTGTGCTATGAGAAAGGGGTCGGTTTGGGTGCCCTTTGGCTACCCTATAGTTGGGTCTGTGCTATGAGAAAGGGGTTGGTTTGGGTGCCCTTTGGCTGCCCCATAATTGGGTCTGTGCTATGAGAAAGGGGTCGGTTTGGGTGCCCTTTGGCTACCCTATAGTTGTGTCTTTACTATGAGGAAGGGGCCGGTTTGGGTGCCCTTTGGATGCCCTATAGTTGGGTCTTTACTATGAGAAATGGGTTGGCTTGGATACCCTATAGTTGGGTCTTCTTTACTATGAGAAATGGGTTGGTTTGGATGCCCTATATTTGGGTCTTTTCTATGAGAAAGGGGTCGGTTTGGGTGCCCGTTTGGCTGCCCTCCTTGGGTCTTTGCTATGAGAAAGGGGTCAGTTTGGATGCCCTTAGTTGGGTCTTCTTTTCTATGAGAAATGGGTCGGTTTGGGTGCCCGTTTGGCTGCCCCCCTCTAACCCCACTCCCTCTGGTTCCCCACAGGCTGAGCAACGCCAAGAAGCAGGCCATGCACACGGTGATGGGCATCTGGATGGTGTCCTTCATCCTGTCCACGCTGCCGGCGGTGGGCTGGCACGACACGGCGGAGCGCTTCTACGCCCTGGCCGAGTGCCGCTTCCTGGTGGCCGAGATCGGCCTGGGCTTCGGGGTCTGCTTCCTGCTGCTGGTGGGGGGCGGCCTGGCCGTGGGGGCCGCCTGCGCCGCCCTGGCCCTGGCCCGCACCTGCGCCCTGCAGCGCTCGGGGCGGCCCAGCGGGGACGTGGTGCCCGCCATCGTGGTGCAGGACGCCCAGGGCAAGCGCCGCTCCTCCCTCGAGGGCTCCGAGCCCCTCCGCACCTCCCTCCAGGTCACCTACCTGGTCGCCGGCATCGTCTGCCTCTACGACTTCCTCATGGGCTTCCCCGTCCTGGTGAGTCCGTGGCATCGTCAGTATTGCAATGGCGGGATGGCCCTCTCTTGGGGGTGCTTTGGTTGTGCCTTGCCTGCAAAGGACTGGATGGCCTCTTGGGGTCCCTATTGTTATTACAAAGGCTAGGTGACCCTCTGGGTGGCCTCTTGGAGTACCTATTATTATTATTATTACTATTATTGTTATTGTTATTATTGTTATTATTATTATTATTACTATTATTGTTGTTATTGTTATTGTTATTATTATTACTATTATTATTATTACTATTATTGTTATTATTATTATTACTATTATTATTATTATTGTTATTATTACAAAGGCTAGATGACCCTCTGACCCTCTGGATGGCCTCTTGGGTTCCCTATTATTATTACCATTATTATTATTATTATTATTATTATTGTTATTGTTATTATTACTATTATTGTTGTTGTTGTTGTTGTTACTATTGTTATTGTTATTATTACAAAGGCTAGATGACCCTCTGGATGGCCTCTTGGGGTCCTTATTATTATTATTATTATTATTATTATTATTATTATTATTACAAAGGCTAGACGGCACTCCGCATGGCCTTTTGGGGTCCGTATTATTGTTGTTCTTGTTGTTATTATTATTATTACTAGTACTACTTTGATTATTATTATTATTATTATTAGTGTTATTATTATTACTACTACTTTGATTATTATTATTATTATTATTATTATTATTATTATTATTATTACAAAGGCTAGACAGCACTTTGCATGGCCTTTTGGGGTCCGTATTGTTGTTGTTGTTGTTATTACTACTACTTTGATTATTATTATTATTATTATTATTATTATTATTATTATTATTATTACAAAGGCTAGACGGCACTCCGCATGGCCTTTTGGGGTCTGTATTATTGTTGTTCTTGTTGTTGTTATTATTATTATTACTAGTACTACTTTGATTATTATTATTATTATTATTATTATTAGTGTTATTATTATTACTACTACTTTGATTATTATTATTATTATTATTATTATTATTATTATTATTATTATTATTACAAAGGCTAGACAGCACTTCGCATGGCCTTTTGGGGTCCGTATTGTTGTTGTTGTTGTTGTTGTTATTACTACTACTTTGATTATTATTATTATTATTATTATTACAAAGGCTAGATCGCACTCTGCATGGCCTTTTGGGGTCCTTATTTTTATTATTATCATTATTATTACTATTACTATTATTATTATTATTATTATTATTACTAAGGCTAGATGGCCATCTGTCAGGAATGCTTTGATGGTGCAGAGGAGGGGGAAGGCAGCTTGAAACTGGCGAATCGTAATGGATAGAAAGCTAAATCCGGGGGCCCATCTTCCTCCTTCTTTGTGGGCAGGTGGTGAGCGTGGCCAGCCTGCGCTCGGACGTGTCTCACGAGTGGATGGTGCTGTGCGTCCTGTGGTGCTCGGTGGCCCAGTCCCTCCTCCTCCCGCTCTTCCTCTGGGCCTGCGACCGCTACCGGGCCGACGTCCGGTCCGTCTGGGAGAAGTGCCTGGCCGTCATGGCCAACGACGAGAGCGGAGAAGGTGAGCCCCTCAAAATACACAACCTCTATAATAGAAAATATACCGTACACCCCACTCTACCTCTCTCTCTCTCTCTCTGCTTCCTTTGCCCCAATGCAACCCCATAGGCAGCAGCCTGGACGGGACCGTCCGCGCCGACCTCCTGTCCGAGCGTCCGTACGACTGCAGCTTCGCCGGGGACGCCTTGACCCTGGAGCACATCGCCAAGTATGACCTGTCTGCCCTGGAGAGGGGCCTCCCCCAGACCTACGGCCCCAAGCCCCCCACCGAGGACAGGATGCAGTACCTGCAGGTACGCCCAGATTATCAGACCATTTCTATCCTGCCTGGCCATCTGTCAGGAGGGATCGGATGGGGTCTGCAAGGCGGAAGGGGATTGGACTGGATAGCCTTTGGGGTCCCCCCCAACTCTAGGATCCCGTGATAGATCTGTCATAGAATATAGTGCGTCTATCCTGTGTATGGCTGCCTGGCCATCTGTCAGGAGGGATCGGATGGGGTCTGCAAGGTGGAAGGGGGTTGGACTGGATAGCCTTTGGGGTCCCTCCCAACTCTAGGATCCCGTGATAGATCTATCATAGAATATAGTGCGTTTATCCTGTCTATGTCTGTCTGGCCATCTGTCGGGAGGGATCGGATGGGGTCTGCAAGGCCCCATCGTCTCCATCTGTTGCCGCCAAATATTATTATTATTGTTATTATTATTGTTGTTGTTGTTGTTATTATTATTGTTGTTATTATTATTGTTATTGTTGTTGTTGTTGTTATTGTTGTTATTATTATTGTTATTATTGTTATTGTTGTTGTTATTGTTGTTATTATTATTGTTATTATTGTTGTTGTTATTGTTATTATTGTTGTTATTATTATTGTTATTATTATTATTATTATTATTATCATCCACACTGTGCCTTGGTCGAAGTCCTGGGGTGAAATGGGTGCCATAATTGTCTCGATTCGATTCAACGTCATTATTATCATTGTTATTTTTATTTCGGTGTTTGGATTGGCCCAGGCGGTGACGAGGTGCCCCCCCTCTCATTTCTGCTACTTCTCGCTACTTAAATTCATATTTTTTCAAAAACCGCAAAACAGCGAGTCCGCGAAAAGCGAATTGCGAAGTAGCAAGGGAATACATTATTATTAGTATTATTAGTATTATTATCATCGTCACGGTGCCCAAGCAGCGGCGAGGTGCCCCCACTCTCATTTTTGCTCAGTGTTCCCTTGCTACTTAAATTCATATTTTTTTATAAACCGCAAAACAGTGAGTCCACGAAAAGCGAACCGCGAAGTAGCGAGGGAATACATTATTATTATTATTATTATTATTATTATTATTATTATTATCATCGTCGTCACGGTGCCCAGGCGGCGACGAGGTACCCCCCCCTCTCATTTCTGCTCAGTGTTCCCTCGCTGATTAAATTCATATTTTAGAAAAAACCGCAAGTCCGCGAAAAGCGAACCGCGAGTAGCGAGGGAATACCGTATTATTAGTATTGTTAGTATTATTAGTATTATTAGTATTATTATTGTCGTCACGGTGCCCAGGCGGTGATGTGCCTCCCCTCTCATTTCTGCTCAGTGTTCCCTCATGACTTAAATTCATATTATTTTCAAAAACCGCAAAACAGCGAGTCTGCAAAAAGCGAACTGCGAAGTAGCGAAGGAATACTGTATTATTATTACTATTATTAATATTAATATTATTATTATTATCGTCATCACGGTGCCCAGGCGGCGAGGTGCCCCCACTCTCATTTCTGCTCAGTGTTCCCTCGCTGCTTAAATTTATATTTTAGAAAAAACCGCAAAACCACAAGTCCGCGAAAAGCGAACCGCGAAGTAGTGAGGGAATACGTAATAATAATAATAATAATAATTGTTATTGTTATTGTTATTATCGTCGTCACGGTGCCCAGGCGGTGACGAGGTGCCCCCCCTCTCATTTCTGCTCAGTGTTCCCTCGCTGCTTAAATTCATATTTTCAAAAAACATAATTTTATATATCAAAAAACCGCAAAAAAGCGAGTTCGCGGAAAGCGAACCGTAAAGTAGCAACCGCAAAACAGCGAGTCCGCGGAAAACGAACCGCGAAGTAGCAACCGCAAAAAAGCGAGTCCGCGGAAAGCGAACCGCGAAGTAGCAAGGGAATACTGTATTATTAGTATTATTAGTATTATTAGTATTATTATTATTATTATCATCGTCACGGTGCCCAGGCGGTGACAAGGTGCTCCCCGTCTCATTTCTGCTCAGTGCTCCCTAGCTACTTAAATTCATATTTTAGAAAAAACCGCAAGTCCGCGAAAAGCGAACCGCGAAGTAGCAAGGGAATACATTATTATTATTATTATTATTATTATTATTATTATTATTATTATCGTCGTCACGGTGCCCAGGCAACAGCGAGGTGCCCCCCCCCATTTCTGCTCAGTGTTCCCTCGCTGCTTAAATTCATATTTTTTAATAAAAAAGCGAGTCCACGGAAAGCGAACCGCAAAGTAGCAACCGCAAAAAAGCAAGTCCGCGGAAAGTGAACCGCAAAGTAGCAACCGCAAAAAAGCGAGTCCGTGGAAAGCGAACCGCGAACTAGCAACCGCAAAAAAGCGAGTCCGCGGAAAGCGAACCGCAAAGTAGCAACCGCAAAAAAGCAAGTCCGCGGAAAACGAACCGCGAGGTAGCAACCGCAAAAAAGCGAGTCTGCAGAAAGCGAACCGCGAAGTAGCAACCGCAAAAAAGCGAGTCCGCGGAAAGCGAACCGCAAAGTAGCAACCGCAAAAAAGCGAGTCCGCGGAAAGCGAACCGCAAAGTAGCAACCGCAAAAAAGCGAGTCCGCGGAAAGCGAACTGCAAAGTAGCAACCGCAAAAAAGCGAGTCCGCGGAAAGCGAACCGCGAGGTAGCAACCGCAAAAAAGCGAGTCCGCGGAAAGCAAACCGCAAAGTAGCAACCGCAAAAAAGCGAGTCCGCGGAAAGCGAACCGCGAAGTAGTGAGGGACTATATTATAATAATAATTATTATTGTTATTATTATTATTACTACTACTACTACTACTACTACTATTGTCGTCACGATGCCTTGGTTGAAATCCTGGGGTGAAACGGGTGCCGTCGTCACCTTCTCTGCCGCTAACTCTGTCCGCCTTCCCCGCAGGTCCCTCCAACGCGGCGCTTCTCCCACGACGACGAGACGGACGTCTGGACCACAGGCCAGATCTCGGCGTACCTGCAGCGCTGGGGCGCGGCCGGGCCGGAGATGATGGCCGGCTTGGCGCAGCTGCTTCTCCCGTTGCCGTCGCAGGGTGTTGCCGACTTCCGCCGGGGTAGCTTGCTCTCCTTCCAGGAGGACGGGGGCCGTTCGCACCGCAAGCGGCACCGCCGGCGCTCGGCCGAGAGCACCCTCTCGTTGCGGCTTTTCGACTTCCCCGAGGAGGAGAGCTTCCCGGACGACGACAACGGCGGAAAGCCCCCATTGCGGTCGGCCTCGGTCTCGCTGCTGGACGCCTTCCCGTTGACCTGCTTCGAGCGGGAGCCTCTCTCCGGACAGCACTGCCTCCGGGCGCCGGAACGGATCCGGATCGAGCTGTGCGAGGACGAACCCGGCGGCGGACCCGGCTCCGATTCGGACGCTTTCCCGGCGGGGCTCGGACCCTCGCGGTGCCAAAACGGGAGCAAAGGCAGTACCAGCAGTTTCCTGAGCTCGCCGTCTTCCGGATACGTGACGTTCCACTCCGATTCGAGCGGCTCGGCTTCGTAACTCCGAAAACTTGGTTTCGTTCCGTTACGGGCGCCGGAGCACCAAAGAGATTGTCCGCGATGTGCTTCCAGTGTGAAAGGAAATGTGCCTCTGAGCACGTGGTTGTTTTCAGGTTCGGGATCTCGTCCCGGTTGCATGCGTGCCTCTGTCGTCCTCGGATGATCTAGGGACGGAATAGGGTGGGATTGTGGTTTATTATAGGGATGGTTTGGGGGTTATTCGGGGTCAATTTGCGCATGTTTTGGCCCCGGTTCGTGTCTTCCTCCCGTTCTCAGCCAAAAAAAGGGGCCCTCTGAGCATGCGCAGAATCCCGTCCGACGTTTACTATCAACCAATACAAAACAAGGAACGTCTTTTGGAGTTCGTTCTGTGCCGTTCGCGCTCCCGTACTCCAATTCCCATCATCCTTGTACTGCTACACCGTTTTCGGGGAGCACTGTCCCTTGGACTACAACGCCTATCCTCCACTGCTAAGGCGCAACGCCCATCCTTGTACCCATACTCTGATTCCCATCATCCTTGTACTGCTTCACCGTTTTCGGGGAGCACTGTCCCTTGGACTACAATGCCTATCATCCACTGCTAAGGCGCAACGCCCATCCCCGTACTCCGATTCCCATCATCCTTGTACCGCAACGCCCATCATCCAGGACCAGGCCTGGCGGGTAGCAATGGGCAGCCCCATGGCATTCGGAGCTGCAGAACCTGCACTGCATGAGTCCCCCCGGACTACAACAACCATCTTCCATCACGAGGCCCAAACGGATGGGATTTGGAGTCTTTTTCTGAGCCCTTCGCACACCAAAGGACGTTCCGTTTTGCCCTAGGCATCCTTTGTCGATGCTTTGTCCTTGGATTACAGTGCCCTGCAGGAGCCCTCGGACTACAACACCCATCTTCCATCGCAAGGCCCAAACGGATGGGATTTGGAGTTGTTTTCTGAGCCCTTTGCACACCAAAGGGCGTTCCGTTTTGCTCTAGCCATCCTTTGTCCTTGGATTACAATGCCCTGCAGGAGCCCTCAGACTACAACACCCATCTTCCATCGTGAGGCCCAAACGGATGGGATTTGGAGTCTTTTTCTGAGCCCTTCACGCACCAAAGGACATTCCATTTTGCCCTAGCCATCCTTTGGCAATGCTTTGCCCTTGGACTACAATGCCCATATTCCACTATGGGAGTGGATTTTGGAAGCTGGTTCTGTGTCTCTGTGTCTCGTATGGACTGTTTGTCCCTGGACTATCATTCCCATCATCCTGAGACAGCTGTTGCCCTTGGACTACAACACCCATCATTCACCATAAGCTTATGAGTCCCGTTGCATGTGGAGATGCAGGATTGTTAACATTTTGCCATTGGCATTTCTACAATGTACTACAATGCCCATCTTCCATGGTGGGAATTGGGAGTCCCAATAGGACTTTGGAAGCTGGTTCTGTTTGTTCCTGGACTATCATTCCCATCATCCTGAGACAGCGGCTCTAGGACTACAACACCCATCATCCAACCCAAGTTTAAGAGTCCAGTTGCAAGTGGAGTTGAAGGCTTGTTCCTGCACTATCATTCCCATCATCCTGAGGCAGTGGCCTTTTGACTACAACTCCCATCACCCACCACAAGTTTAGGAGTGCAGTTGCAGATGGAGATAACCTTTTGCTGTTGGCATTTCTTGTACTACAATGCCCATCATCCACTACAAGACTGAGTATCCACGGGAGTTGTAGTCCGATTGCTGGTTCTGTCGACCCAAAGGATGGTCCAGTTGTAGTGTTTAGGTAGCATCGCCCCTTGGACTGCAATGCCTATCATCCACTGCAAAGGACTACAATGCCCATCATCCATTACAAGACTGAGTGGATGGGAGTTGTAATCCGGATGGGCCACTTGTAGCGTTTAGGTAGCACCGCCCCTTGGACTACAATGCCTATCATCCACTGCGAAGGACCACAATGCCCATCATCCATGACAAGGCTGAGTGGATGGGAGTTGTAATCCGATTGCTGGTCCTGTAACGATGGGCCACTTGTAGCGTTTAGGTCGCACTGTCCCTTGGACTACAATGCCTATCATCCACTTGCGAAGGACTACAACGCCCATCATCCACCACAGGCGGAGATTGCCACCTGATCGCATTTGGACTACACCTCCCATCGATCACAATTGGATCAGGCTTCTGGACTACACCTCCCATCATCCACCCTGGGAGTTGTAGCCCATCTTTGATATTTTTTGGGATTTGTAGCACCGTTTTCGGGGGCGCCTCGTTCTTTATTGTAAACACCGAATAACGGCACTTTTTTGCACCAAAAACCTCACGTCCCTGTTGTTTCCCGGACGTGGACGTCTCTCTTTCTCTCTCTTTCTAGACGTATATATATTCCACTTCTATATATATATATTCTGTATCTATCTATATGGATGTTGTGCCTTTTTTTTTAACGGTCTCTGAACAGACGGCACTTTTTTACCCGTTTTTTGTCGTACTCTTTTACCTTTTTTCAGACTCTTTCTAAGCGTCCCCCTTCCCTGGCCTGCAAGTAATAATAATAATAATAGTAATAATAATAATAATAATTTTTAAGGCCTGGATGGTCTCTTTCTATGGTTTTTTGGGGCCTTTTTTGTGTCCTTTTGTCGGGTTTCCTTACACAAACACACACGCTGAGTGAGGTTTCACACTGTGCGGAATTAATGCGGTTCGGCACCACTTTAAAGTGTGACGGAATCCCTGGGAGTTGTAGTTTTCCATTGACTTCTGAAGTTGGGAGTTGTAGTTTTCCATTGACTTCTAAAGTACTATAAAATCACAGGAGTTGTAGTTTTACGTTGACTTCTGAAGTTGGGAGTTGTAGTTTTCCATTGACTTCTGAAGTTGGGAGTTGTAGTTTTCCGTTGACTTCTGAAGTACTATAGAATCACAGGAGTAGTTTTCTGTTGACTTCTGAAGTTGGGAGTTGTAGTTTCCGTTGACTTCTGAAGTACTATAGAATCACAGGAGTTGTAGTTTTCCATTTACTTCTGAAGTACTATAGAATCACAGGAGTTGTAGTTTTCCATTGACTTCTAAAGTCCTATAGAATCACAGGAGTTGTAGTTTTCCATTGACTTCTAAAGTACAGGAGTTGTAGTTTTCCGTTGACTTCTAAAGTACTATATTATCACAGGAGTTGTAGTTTTCCATTGACTTCTAAAGTACTATAGAATCACGGGAGTTGTAGTTTTCCATTGACTTCTAAAGAACAGGGGTTGTAGTTTTCCGTTTACTTCTAAAGTACTATAGAATCACAGGAGTTGTATTTTTCCATTGACTTCTAAAGTACTGTAGAATCACAGGAGTTGTAGTTTTCCATTGACTTCTAAAGTACAGGAGTTGCAGTTTTCCATTGACTTCTAAAGTACTATAGAATCACAGGAGTTGTAGTTTTCTATTGACTTCTAAAGTACAGGAGTTGTAGTTTTCCATTGATTTCTAAAGTGCTGTAGCAACTTGGGAGTTGTAGTTTCCCATGCTCTCTATAATACGATACAGGCCTTGGGAATTATAGTTTTTCATGGTCTCTATCGTGCTATGGAAACCTGGGAATATATGTAGTTTTCCATGGTCTTTTAGAATGCTATGGAAACCTGGGAATTGTAGTTTCCCATGGTCTTTTAAAATGCAGTGGGAACCTGGGAATTGTAGTTTCCCATTACCTTTTGAAATTGTAGTTTTCAATGCCCTCTATAGTGCTATAGAAACCTGGGAGTTGTAGTTTCCGGTGGTCTTAAAAACCTGTGGGAATTTGGGAGTTGTAGTTTTCCGTGGTCTTTTAAGGTACTATAGCAGAGTGTTGTATTTTTCTATGGTCTCCCAACATGCTGTGGTAACCTGAGAGTTGTAGTTTCCCATGTCCTCTGTAGTACTATTGATCCCCTGGGAGTTATAGTTTTCCATGGTCTCTATAGTGCTATGGAAACCTGGGAATTTGTAGTATTCCATGGTCTTTTAAAGTGGTATGGAAACCTGGGAGTTGCAGCTTCCCATGGTCTTTTTTTGAAATTGTAGTTTTCAATGGTCTCTATAGCACTATGGAAACCTGGGAGTTGTAGTTTCCCGTGGTCTTTTGAGATTGTAGTTTTCAATGATCTCTGTAGTGCTTGTTTTTCAATGGTCTCAAAACACTATGGAAACTTGGGAGTTTTAGTTTCCCATGTTCTTTTGGAATTGTAGTTTTCAATGGTCTCAAAACACTAGGGAAACCTGGGAGTTGTAGTTTCCCATGGTCTTTTGAGATTGTAGTTTTCAATGGTCTCAAAGCACTATGGCAACTTGGGAGTTTTAGTTTCCCATGTTCTTTTGGAATTGTAGTTTTCAATGGTGTAAAAACACTATGGAAACTTGGGAGTTTTAGTTTCCCATGTTCTTTTGGAATTGTAGTTTTCTTTGGGATTTGTAGTTTTCAATGGTTTCAAAACACTATGGAAAGCTGGGAGTTGCAGTTTCCCATGATCTTTTTTTGAAATTGTAGTTTTCAATGGTCTCTATAGCGCTATGGAAACCTGGTCTTTTGAAACTGTAGTTTTCAATGGTCTCTGTAGTGCTTGCTTTCAATGGTCTCAAAACACTATGGAAACTTGGGAGTTTTAGTTTCCCATGTTCTTTTGGAATTGTAGTTTTCAACGGTCTCAAAATACTAGGGAAACCTGGGAGTTGTAGTTTCCCATGGTCTTTTTTTGAAATTGTAGTTTTCAATGGTCTCTATAGCACTATGGAAACTTGAGAGTTGTAGTTTTGGTAGCGAAGGACAAAGGACATTGGGAAACTACAACTCCCAGGATTCCCGTCGCAGTCCAAAGTGGTGCCAATCATAGATCTCACACACACACACACAACTCTTAATAATCACAATGTCTCTCTCTTTTTTTCCCAACTTGTTTATTTGTTTGTTTGTTTCTGTAAAAAAAACACAACAAAACACACAGACACAACAAAACGAGACGGAATTAAAGACGACATCCGAAATCCTTCCGGGAATGTTTGTCCTTCTTTCTCTCCTTCGTTTTCGTGAAGACGGACGGTCAGTCTCAGTCCCATTTGCATTGGGAGGGACCCCAAAGGTCATCTAGTCCACCTCCGTCCAGTGACCATAATGTCCATGGAAGCAGCTCCACCTGCTGGTCAGCCAAGGAACCACACCTCAATTGAACATTTCCAATATTGATAATAATATAATTAATATTAGTATTAATACTAATTATAATAAAGTAATAACATTGATTAGTGATTAATAATATGCATTCCAATTAAATAGTAATAATGCTTAATAAATAATAATGATTAATACTATGGATTTCCAATATTGATAATAAGTAATATAATTAATATTAGTATTGATACTAATTGTAATAAAGTAATAGCACATGATTAATAAATAACATTGATTAGTGATTAATAATAATTTGCATTCCAATTAAATAATAATGCTTAATAAATAATACTGAATAATACTATGCATTTCCAATATAATATTAGTATTAATACTAATTATAATAAAGTAATAACATGATTAATAAATAACATTGATTAATGTTTAATGATAATATGCATTTCTAATTAAATAGTAATAACAATAAATAAATAATAATGATTAATACTATGCATTTCCAATATTGATAATAATTAATATTAATATTAATACTAATTATAATAAAGTAATAACACATGATTAATAAATAATATTGATTAGTGATTAATAATAATTTGCATTCCAATTAAATAGTAATAATGCTTAATGAATAATAATGATTAATACTATGCATTTCCAATATTGATAACAATTAATATAATTAATGTTAGTATTAATACTAATTATAATAAAGTAATAACACATGATTAATAAATAACATTGATTAGTGATTAATAATATGCATTTCTAATTAAATAGTAATAATGC